ATAACAAAATAAGTAAATCGTTTGAGGAGAAATAATTACCTATCTACTTTACGGGTGTACTTACATCCAATTACATCAGTATTCAAACTTTAACCACTTATTTAAAACTATTCTGAATTTATGCTAAACTTTTTTTGCATTCTTATAATAAAAACATATGGATGAGAACCTCGTGTTCAATTTTCTAACTTTTTGACATGGAAAAAATTAACTTAAAAATAATCAACAGTTATTGAAAATGTTATCATGTATGGAAAATGATTAAAATAAATATTTCGGAAACTGYTTATGTTTCTATATTTCTAGGTTTGTTTTTGAATAAGTACACAAAAAAAATTTCATTTAATCAAAACTAGTTTTGCGTATAAATTACCGTTTTTGCCTAATTTCCCCCTCCCCCAATTATTAAGAAAAGTGGGATTTTTAAACGTCAGTCTTGTAAAAGTACCGTCGTGTCTCATGTGTACGGTCATAAGTTTTTTTTTAATCGATGTTTAATATTAAAACTATAGAGACTAGTACACTATAGARTATAGGGTCATATACTATCTAAATTAGTTAGGTAGCAATTCTATAAAATATTTTTAAAAATCATGAAACAATTTAAGAAACTTATTACAAAAAAATTAACGTTTAATACTTAATAAAATTAAGTATCACTAGGAATAAAAATAATATATCTTATGTAAAATATTATAAAGAAAATTTAAACAATGTTGAAAGGTATCGGGTTATTGCGCTTGATTGCTTATAATTAAACATTGAAAATTATGAATAATAAGTATGATACTTTGTATTTTTTTTTATAACAAAACTAATTAATTTAATGTAGCCAATGTAGGTATACAAAAACAATCTAAATAATCCAAAATAATAAAAATTTTAGTTTTTAAATTATTTTTTTTAGTCGACGAATTTAAATTTGAAAATATGAAATTACATTAATCGAAATTATTAACAGAGCCATACATATTATTTGGAGCCAATTATAACCGTAACTCCTTATTATAAAGAAACCGAATGGAATGAAATTGCAAACCCACCTCTACCATGGTATTTCAAAGGTAATAATAGTTCATAAATTCATAACAATTTTACCGTATAAAATATTATTACTTGTGCCTTATACTGCTGTAAGTGATTTATAATTTTTATAAGTAGGTACTTACTTTAATGAATAATCTATATGATTATATAATTTATATTTTATATTTCATAGTTATGATTGCATTGCCTATGACGTATATTAATATAATTATATATAAATATTCTATTTCCACCCTTAAGTTTATGGTACCTACACATAATTTTTAAAAATTACAAAATATTCCTTACTGCTGTGTAATAGTATATGTACTTATTATGCATAGCTATTTATTTTTTTTAGATGGTACTATAAAACCAACCAACGCTCGATTGTTCTCATCAAGATCTAGTTCGAAACTTTCACAAGTGTGGCCTAAGGAACAGATAGACGGCGATGATCGCGTGGAAGAACAATTAATGTTTGTGCCACCACATTACAATTATAACAATGCACCAATCAAGTCAATTTTATTATACAACAATATTAATGAATGGGTAGTTAATAGCGGGCAAGACGAATTCATTTCAAAAGATTGTCCAGTAAATAGATGCACGATCACTACAGACAAATCAAAAAGCTCGAATGTAGATTCAATTTTATTCAGAAATGAATTCTCACATCCCGGTTACAAAAAGACCGATCAACAAGTAAGATCAAACATTTAAACAGAATAMATTTATATTATACTTAGGAGGGGAAGTTCAACATTAAAAATTACTGTACTTACCTTATTAGGGAAAACATAAAAATAGTAAATTAGGTAAAAAATAAAAATAAATTTTACTTTTCACTTTTTTAACATTTTTGTGCATTCCATAGGTATGGATTTTATTCGTTATGGAGTCTGCGTATTATACAGATCTTAACGTTAGCCATGAATTAATTAATTGGACTGCTACATATCGACATGATAGTGATATCGTTACGCCTTTCCAACGATGGGCTTATTACAATCCGTCAGTGACTCAGGTTGAACAATTTAATCGAAATTACGCACTAAATAAAACAAAACAAGTGGCGATGATTATTTCAGATTGCAACATTGATAATGACAGGGAACTATTGTATGCTAGAGAGTTGAATAAATATATATCTGTAGACGTGTA